TTCATAACCCTTCACTTGGATTTTATTCTCCGAATCCAGTGGCCTGTGCAGCTCTCGCTCTTCTGGAGTTCATTACTGTGAATGGCACTGCCCATTTCTCAGACACCCTCTCGATGGCTGCCGCTAATGGGCCTGAGCTATTGGTTCTGCTCATTAACTCGAAATTTCTCTGTTTCAGCTCTGGGTCAAGATTCCAGCATCAGGCATACCTGGATCCGTGTACGGGCACCGGTCGTGACTGGCAATATGCCCGTGGGGAAGCTACTGGAGGTCAACAGGCCTTCTTTATCAACTTTAAAATGGACATAATGGCATTGATTGTCGAGAATATCCTCCGCACAGGCACAGTCGGTTTAGTCTGTCACAAAGTAATCAGTGAGCAAACCCAAACAATCATCTCGGTGTCCTAATTCTCAGCTCCTGGGACTCCTGCATCTTTTTGCCTTAAAAAATTCATCTCAAATTCCTTTGACTAATATGTCAATATTTCCTGAAGTAATGAATCCAAGGCTAAATCTTTCTCTGGCAAAAAAAGAAGGGAGGGAGAGAGGGAGGGAGGGAGGGAGGGAGGGAGGGAGGGAGGGAGGGAGGGAGGGAGGGAGGGAAACCAAAGTGTAATCAGCAATATCTGAGGAACAACCTGATGAATGCTGGTTTCATTTCAGAGTTCCTTCTCCCGAATTCACTGCCCTTCAGCCCCTTCACCTCCACTTTGAAGATTTTTCTTCTCTAGATTCTCTGACAGTTTATCCTCGTGCATTGACTTTCAACAATGGTCTAAAGAGAAAGCCTAAGGGTTATCTTTATTCTCTGTGCTGTCTTCTTATTCTTGGAGGTAGCACACTTCCCCACGGCTCCAACTCTAAACAAAAAGCATCCGAACAATCTCTAGCCCAAAGCTCTCCTCTGAGTTCTCGAGCCCTGTATGCAATGGTTTACTGATGCTACCGTGAGAGGACTAGGACCACATAAACTCCAATAAACCCACACTGGCTCTGGGGCCACCCTCCCCATTTCGCTGGCTCTCCATCTATCCCAGCTGGAAAGGCCGGAAACCTGGAAATTGCTCCTAACAAACACCACATTCCTTCCCCACACCAAGTCCACTCACACCCATGAACTTCTCCTCAAACATCTCTCAAATTCACCCACCAACATCCATCTTTAACTTCTTCTTCCTTCTAAACGAATGTCACTCAAGGACAAAAGTCTACTTTTGAGAACCCTCACATGGTTTACTCTCTCCCACTTCTCTTCTGCGGCCAAGCCATGTCTTCTTCTTTTATTTTTTCCCTCAGAACACTTCTTAGACACTTTCATCTGTTCATTTATTTAACTGAAAATTGTTCTTACTGGGTAAGGGTTAAGTAACACAGTAAGAGTCCTAGATTATATAACTAGTCATCCTCCAAACACAGTAATCACACAAGAATGCACCTATGAGTACATATTTACATGTCTTCTGTAAACACTGCATATTTTCAGCCTTTCCTATTTTACACGGTTATGAACTTCACAGTTTTAACATCCGTCGTAAATAAAGTGCCCATCATATATACTGCACTTGCTTAATTGTTCTGATTCTCTTTCCCAAGTATGATGGGATATCTCTCATTTTTGCATTCTCAGCTTCAGTGAACAAGCCAATGGTGTCCTCATCTATGCCATGTATGACTTTAAAGGAATTATAAAAATCCACGGATCACACTCCCTTAGACTCTGTTTAAAGGGTGGGATGCAGCGGTACTCATGTCTGCATTTCGTCTCTATGACATCTCATGAAGAGAAAATATGTAACATAAACCCACAGATTACAAGAATCATGCCAGAAAACAAGGTTCTCAAATACGTTAACTGTCTCTACTCGAGAATAATTTTATTTCTGTTTTAAAAAAAGTACTAAGAGTTGATACCCAACCAAGTGAGGGGACAGACACGGAGCACCTGGCACTGTGATGCCACAGCTGCTCATGAATGCGACCCCTGAATCTCTGCCAGTGCAGGAAGCACAGAACAGGAGCGGGAGCCTGGCAGAGACTAGAAGGAAGAGATTCTAGAAGGGCAAAGTTCTTGCCATGCAAGTGAGAAAACCCAAGTTCAAATCTGCAGACCCCACACAGAAGCCAAGCATGGAAGCCAGTGTCAGCAACCCCAGCGCTCCTACCCTGAGAGGAGGTGGACATAGGAGTGTCCCCAGAAGCCCACAGACCAGCCAGTGTGCAGACAGCAAAGGGACTCTGACCCAAACAAGGTGAAAGGTGGACAGACCCCGGGAGACTCTCACACACACAAACACACAAGTGTGTACAGACATAACATCACACACACATACTTATACACAGAGACACAACATACCCTCACTCTCACACACATATACACACAAACACTAAACACACCCTCACTCACACACAAACACACATAGATGTACAAAGATATTACATGTATGTACACACAGACACCAACCACACACATGCCCTCACACACATATGTGTACAGACATAGACATCACACACACATATCTATATATATACTAACACCACACACACACACACAAGGAAAAAGAAGAAATCATAAAGAACTGCCAACATGGGTTACCTGATGGAAATACTTTCTTAAATTTGTATTATTTAAAATCGATCCCTGACCTCTTAAAAGAAAGCAGGAAGCATTTTGGAACCAATCTGAGTTGTCTAAGCTCATTCTAATTTCCTTTTTCTAAATAGGATTGCGCATAGCTGGAGCACAGATCAAGAGGTGGCAGAAAAATCCCTGTGTTGGTGGACTGCAGCAATTTCGTTGACCAAGTTCCCATTGACCCAGACAGACATTAATTATCCAGACAGATGGATAACAGAGCAGGAGGCAACTAGGTAACTACGGAGCAGCCTCGACAAGGGCTCCTTCCGAACTGCCATCAGCCGCTCTATCAGCGGGCTTCAGGACTCTGTGGCCTTCCCTCTGAAACTACGTTACCAATAACTAGAGTGCAGATACAGGCGTTTACTACAGGCACGATGACAGGAACACAGGAGGAATGAGACACACACGTAAATACACAAACACCATGCAATCCATAAGAGAGCCAAGACTAAAATCACAGTAGCCTAGAAAAATGGGCTAATCCCTAAGGTATCATCAGCACTTGTTTCCAAAGCCACGCATCCAGCTTTGAGAGGGACAAGCTGGGGATTAATTACCACCAGTTTTAAAGCTTACTCGATGGCATTAGCAGACAACAAGCTTAGTCTGAGGGGGACAGCAGCAAGCCTGGTGCCATGGGATCTGAGAAGGGCAAACAGGGTGCAGCTATGCAAAGGCAGAGCGGCACTCAAAGGTGAAAGGCGGCAGTCTTGGTCCACACTGGCCAGAGCAGAACTCGGTTACTTCTCACATAACATGAGCACACGTGTTCAGAACAAACAACCAGGATGGGTAGGTATGTGAAAACTATTCTAAAGAGGAAGGACAGAAGGGTGGTTCAGAAGCAGCACAAAACAACAGCCTCAGTGGGAAATGGTGGCTGTCTCCACTAAGCCACTCAGTGAACATGAAGTTCAAAGCTGCTTCGGAAAAACCTACTTCCCTGGAGAGTAGCCGGGAGGCAGAGGAAGAATGGTTACACGTGAAAGAACCTCTAAGTATGCTCAAATACGCATATCTGGAGTGGAGATCACGATGGTTTGAGAAGAATGAAACTGCTCTGTAGGATTTAGGAAGAAGGAAGATAGCAAGAGGGTTCAGGGATTCCCCCAAATCCACAAAGTTGTCCTCAGACCTCCACACGTGCATCACGGCTCATATGCACTTGCGCACGCACACACGATTTCATAAGGTACATGCGGGAACAGAGAAAAGGCTATATAAGGAAGACTATCGAGAACAAGTCTCATTAATGAGGAAAAATCAGTTTGACTAGATGCACACTTTCCAGGAGTCTACTCTACCTGGGAGGGATAGTGCTGAGGTAAGAAAGGCAAAGGCCAGGCCATCTTAACTTCTCCCCATTCCACAGTATGAACGGGATGCTTGTAGGAGGTGCCCCCCACATCGAATTCATCCACTTGCGTACTTTAGCACCCACATTTCCTACTCTGAAGCCACACTTGTGATGAAAAGCAGAAACTTTCTGTTTGGCCCCTTAGCAGAGGGAACAACAGCAAAACCAATGTTTATTCTCCGTCCATGGACCTTGAATCTATAAGGGAAAAAGAGCAAAGATTTTCTATCCTTTAATTCATAACTTCTACTAAGATATTCAAATATTCTCAATGTAAATAAAGATTTGTTACATATTGCTTCTCTTCTTGTGAGCCATTTGCTTCTGAATAACAGGAAAAATAAGTTTGATTGGAGATCACTTGGAAAATGTATCTTAAACACTTTAAAGCCCTCTAATCTAAGATTATGTGGAAACTGACTTCAGAAATGTTTCTAAAAAGAAATGATTCATCAGTGAGATTAAGCTAAATGCAGAAGTAATCAAATTGTGGAATTCTGATTAAATGGATACTTAAGTTTAATCTACTTAAAACTTCCAGGATAAATAGAAAGGTCCTGGTCTAGAGTAGTTCTGGCTTGGCTCAAATGCTGTACTGGCTGTCTAAGGAGTTTGCTCTTCAAACTGTTCCTTTTAACTTCTTAGAAGCCATTCTTCAAACTTCGTCCTCAATCTAAATGCAATAAATGAGATCACTTGGACTTCTATGGGCTCTTTCTGCTAAATAGCAGCCAAAAAGAAAAGGCAAGAAAGTGAAAGGGGCATGTCCGTGCCTACTCAAACCCCTGGAAAGGTTTCCTTGTCGATGGCAGTCGCTCTGGTGGCTTTACCACCTCTAAGCAAGTATGTTAAAGAAAAAGCAAAGAAAACCAAACCCAGGATTCTCTGGGCCAGAGAGGTCCCCTTTTGTGACTACAGCTAGGCTCCCCCGGGATTTCCTCCCGTAGTCCCCGCACCGCCGGGCCGCAGGCGGGCGACCGCAGGCCGACGCGGTTCCACTTACAGTGACACCATCCCAGGTGACAGCACCAGTGCAGCTTGAAGCACTTGCCGTGGCTGTGCGTGGCACAGATGGACAGCCCGTCACACGGCTGGAAGTCGGGTCGGCGGGCGGCGCAGCTCCGCGCCAGGGCCTGCGCCTCGTCCACTTTCTCGCTCTTCCAGCCGCGCTCGGACGCAGCGGCCGCACTCATGTCTCCCGGCGCGGAGCAGGGGACCGGAGCCCGGGAGCGGAGCGGAGGCGCGGGGCGGGCAGGACGCGAGCGGGCTGCGGGCTGCAGGCGCGGCGGGCACCGGCTGGCGGAGGAGCCACCCCGGTAGGGCGCAGCGACTGGGCCTGGCCTGCCACCTCCCCGTGCCCCGGGTCCCTTCTCCTGCGCCCTCCTCCTAGCTCCCTCCTCCCTTCTTTCTCCTCTCCACCCTCCTCCGGGCTCCCACCTCCCTTCTCTCTCTCTTTCGTCCTCCCCGCTGCTCCCTCCTCTCTGCTCCCCCCCCCCTCGGGCCGCCACGCCTGCACGCGCACGCGCACTCTTAGGCTACCGCGCCCCTCTGCGAGCCTAGCCCCCGCGAGTCGGTCTCACAAGCCTCTTGAAGCGGAGAGAGGGCCACGAGGACGGTCAACCGGGTCCCTACACAGACACACACGTCCCGCACGCGCCCGCCCTCTCGTGGGGGGGGGGCCTCCACGGCTCTGGCTACAGCTGGCTTCTCCGGCAGCCTTTCGGCACAAAGTCCAGCCTGGTCCAGGCACTCCCCAGCGTGCCAGGGCGTCCTGCGGGGTCCCTGAGCCGCGGGGCAGCAGCGGGCGGTGACCCAAGGCCCGAGACCTAGCGGGTTCTTCCCAGCGCCAGCCGCTCGGAACTAGTACTGGGCTAGGGTCATCGGGCGACTGGAGTGGGAGGATGTGTTAGGTTTGTGTCCTGATATATGGGATTGGGGCGGGGGTGTCCACTGAGTGGCTTGCAATGGCTATGTGTGGCCAGTGCGTACAGTCGAGTGGTGCGAGAGGCACGGGGGAGGGGGAGTTGAGTGTGGACGCCACGGTGTGTGAGCGCGATTAATTGCATGGGTTGAACATGGGTGTGTGTGGCGGTGTGGTGGGCTGGAATGGCGTAAAGAGCTTATGCATGGAGTGTATGTGTGGCGTTAACACGGACATGGGCACACAGATGGGGCTGCCTGGGGCCCAGCCTGGTCAGTGGGTGTGGCTGCCCAGGCTGCAGCTTCCTCTTCCACCGCCCCAAGTCCGCTTGTTTGTCTTCCCTCCTGAGCACAACTTGTATCAAATACGTTTTCCATGCCGGGGAGCAGCGCTGGGAATTGGCTCTCGCTGCAACCGGGGCCAGGATCCAGCCTGAACACGGAAAGCAGGGAACGCCCTCCTTCTCAGCTTCCTTGCCAAATAATTAAGTCCAGGAATTACCGAAGGTAATTGCCGAAGGTCGGGAACAGAACCTCTCCGCACAGATGCTGGACTGGGACGTGCTTATGTCCGGATCTCCTTTTCACGTTATTCTCTTCTGCTTAGCAATGATATCTAGCCTAGCTTTAAAGGAAATTCATTTTAAAGCCCTCAAAAATCTTTGCTGCCGTAAGCAACCTTTCATAATTTTCCCTTTTATTTAACCTTGGCTTAGTACGGGAAATCTAATTTGCATACGTCTGACTCCAGTGAAATCTTCACGTGTCGGGGATTGAGGGGGATCCAGATGGCAAAGGCTTTCTTCTAAGTCACAAACTCTGACTTCCCATTACCCTTACACTGAAACAGCATCAAACATAAGGAAGCATCACCTACTTCCCAGGTGTCCACCCCTTCAGTCCCCAAGCAGCTCCCTGCTGACTCATAGTATCCATGCATCCCTGCTGTTAATAGCTGTCTCAGAATAACTTCAGCAAGTGAAGAAAAGCCAAAGGAACCCGCCCCACATTATTGCTATATTATCTAATCTTTTTTTTCTAAATTTTATGTATTGTGTGTGTGGCTGTTTTGCCTACATGCATGTTTGTACACCAGCTGCACACCGTACCCTCCAGGGCAGAAGAGTACACCAGATTCCCTGGGACTGAAGTTACAGGGGTTCGTTAGCTGCCAGGCCAATGCTGGGGATTGAACCCAGGTCCTCTGGAAGAGCAGCCAGTGCCCTTAACCTCTGAGCCATGCTCTAGACCAGTTTTTTTTTTAACAATGGGTCTATTCATCTGTTTTAATCTATTTTTCTCCCCCAACGTATAAACTTCCTCTAATACCAGGCATATCATATAAGGCCAAATAACAGGACCTTCCAGGAGGGCGTACACAGCCTTTATTACAGACTGAAACACGAGATTCCATTCATTAGGAAGCATGCTGACACATTTTTTTAGAGCAATGGGACTATTCCTAGCCAAGCCATGCATGCCCCAAAAGACCTAAGATGCCAGAAACTCACAGCCATCAAAGGTCAGTCTTGACAAAGGCTGTGACTTCTCTACTTGGCTGTCATGCAACAGTTCGAATCTTCAGGTTCGAATGTGGCAAGCTGAATGATTTGTTCCTGTCATAGTGTGCCTCTCTGTCTACTGTTAATGTAAGCCGTCTTTGGACACCAACCCTCTGAACACTTACAATCTGAATCTTTGCAAACAGGTTTTGGTTACCTAACCAAGCAACCAAGTATCGTGGTTATAAATAAGCTACCAGCGATCTGCTAGTCATATTAAACCAATCACAGGGCTGCCAGGGATTGGGGGGAGCAGCAGCTTCCAACACAGTGCAGCTAAACTGGGAACCGCCTGTCAAGAAGGAAGAAGTCTGTTCAGCACGGCCATCAGCACAGCTTGGACTCAGCATTTGCTCCAGGGTCAAGGTAAGAGCAGCATCTTTAGACTCAGACGCAGCCACGCTTTCCTGAACCACTGCAGGTACTCCCTAGAAGTCCCTCTCCTGAATTGTTTTCTATCTCTAGTAAAACGCCGACCAGACGCAACTTGGGGCAGAAAGGGTTTACTTTATCTTAAACTTCTGTGCTACAGACCGCTGAAGGAAGTCCTGAGTGGAACTGAAACAGAGCTGTGTAGGGACAGTGCTCACTGGCTCCTGTCTCCACGCCTTGCCCAGCTTGCCTTCTTATACAACCAAAGACCACCTGCCCAGAGCAGAGCCGCCCACATCGTTCATTAAATCAAAAAAAACGCTCCCACAGACTTGCCTACAAGCCAATGTGATGGAGGCATTTTCTCCATTGAGGGTCCCTCTCCTAATGACCTGAGCTTGTGTCAAGTTGACAAAAACCAACCAGAACAGTTCCCTTTTTCATAGTATCTCAAACATTCACAACCAGAGACTAAATTCCTCCCATCCCTCCCTCTAGGGTGCTGAAGAGAGACTGTCCTATAACAACTGTTCTGAGTTAGGGTTTCTGTTGCTGTGAAGAGACACCACGACCGCAGCAACTCTTACTTTTAATCGGGGTGAATTATAGTTCAGAGGTTCAGTCCATTATCATCATGCTGGGGTCATGGTGGTGTGTAGTCAGACATGGTGCTGGAGAGTAGTTGAGGAAGTGCTCTGAGACACTGGCCATGGCTTGAGCATGTACGAGACCTCAAAGCCAGCCTCCAGAGTGACACCTTCCTCCCACAAGGCCACACCTACTCCAGCAAAGCTACACACTCCCTTTGGGGAGTGCCACTCCCTTTTGGGGCCATTTTCTTTCAAACCACCACAACAGCTGTTCACAGAGACTCTCTAAAGCAGTCTAGCAGGTACTGTTAATTCCCAGCGCCTGGATGGATGCATCAGAGGCCTATGATGAATAGTGTTAAATGGACACATTAAAATGTTAACAGCTGTGCTGGAGATGTACTTCAGTGGTAGATGTGAAGGGAGCTGAATTAGAACCCCAACACACAGCAGGGTGGGGTGGGGTGACAGATTTTCTAAAGTGTTTAGTAAGACAAAAGACCTGACTTTTAAATCTGGAATCCCCAGAATGAGCAAGTTGTTTGAAAGCCTGTAGAGATCAGGTGGTACCTTGTCCTAAGTGACTCCACATTGTATAAAACAGTGAGTGGTTTTTCTCCAGGTCCTTTGCGCCTCGCCGAGAGGCTCCATTGTACAAGCCACTTATGACTCCAGTTTGAGGAAGGAGGTGACTCCGCAGCTGGGCAGCCCAGTGTCTATCAGGGTGACCTGGGACTGTGAGAGCGCATGGACTACTGTGGCTTGAATAAGAAGGGCTCCTCAGGCCCCCAGATTTGAATGTTCAGTTTTCCGTGGATGGACTATTTAGGAAGGATGAGGAGGTGTGGCCTTGCTGGAGTGATGTTGGAGAAGCACATGTGTGTGCTCCCTGCACAGACACATACATAAAAGTAAAAGGGACTTTAAAACAGAAATGAAACCAACCTTAACCAGCCCATTTCAGGAAGCACTGGGAGGTTATGTCGCTAAAGGACACTCTAAAATACAATGACTCAGATTATAAATGAGGCAGCTGATGAGGTCAACAGCCCACAGTCAGCACCTTACAGACACCCAGCGTCCCAAACCCTAAGGTACAATTCAGTGCCCACAGAGTGCCATCTAGCCCCCACAGTCTCGTTGGTCTAGCTTCCTCCTCTGCGGAGAAGGGAGTTCCCAAAGTTACAAGACTCACAAGGTCTCACAACTGCAGTGAAGGGGAGACTCTCTGATCAACTCAGCTGACTGCAGGGTCTTCAGGGAGCTCCAGGGATGCAGCTTTTGTGACTCCTCACTTATACTGGGCTGGGCTTTTCCGTGACATGCCTCCGGCAGGGATGCCCCAGGAAACTCACTGGCTTGCTAAGCTACTTCCGCAGAATCCTTTCTCTAGTTAGTCCCGGGTGCTCTATCACCCCATCCCTGGTGAGGAGATGCTAGTCCCTGTCTCCCCAGGGAAATGACACAGCACTCTAAGTTTGCTAGAGACAATTTAAAGGGGCCACCTAAAGCAAGCCTAGGATTATAAAAGGTAATTGCTTATTGTAGGACCCAACCATGGTAAGTTTAATAGGAAGTTCTTAACTCCCAGCCATTATCACCTACCAGTGTAGGACCCAGTCAGGATAAGCTTAATGGAGGCCTGAGTCTCAGTAGTTCACCCTGAGACAATACCTGGAGGCAGGAAGGACTGCAAACTGAGATTACCCAGGCACCACCCAAGAACAGACCATCCAAAGGAAATTCCTAATGTTCCAATCATTGTAGACAGGATCACCTGCCAGCACACACTCACCAGGGCACCCCTAGACAAATATCAGCCAATCATGGTCCTGAACCTTAGAAATCCCTCACCCCCTTACTACTATAAAAACTCAACTCTAACTGAGCTCAGGGCTCTCCATTTATTCCAATACGTTGGACACATGGAGAGACTGAGTTTGCAAAGTTGTCTAAAATAAAGGCTCTTTGCTTTTACATATGGAACTCAGTTTCCTTGTTGGTTCTTGGGGGACTCCGCGGATCTGGGCATAACACTTATAAGGGTTCA